TTGAAAAAAGTCTTAAAAGATGTGAATAAACAGATTTGGTTTTGAATTGGGAAAAATGTCACTTTATGGTAAAAGAAGGCATAGTGTTAGGACATTTAATTTCCAAAAGAGAAGCATTGAAGTTGATAAAGCAAAGTTAGATGTAATTGAGAAGTTACCTGAACCAACAACTGTCAAAGGGATCAGAAGTTTTCTAGGACATGCAGGTTTTTATAAGAGGTTCATTAATGACTTCAAAAACATCAAAACCTCTTTGTTTATTATTACAGCATGACCATGTTTTCAATTTTAATGAAGATTGTAGAAAAACTTTCAACATTTTAAAAGAAGCATTGGTCACTGCTCCTGTGGTAATAACACCTGATTGGTCCAAACCCTTTGAAATAATGACTGATGCTAGTGACTGGGCAGTTGGAGTAGTGTTGGGACAAAAGAAAGAAAAGATTTTTCATCCTGTTTATTATGCAAGCAAAACTCTTAATGATGCTCAAATCAATTACACCACTATTGAAAAGGAATTATTAGTTGTGGTCTTTGCTTTTAAAAAATTCAGATCATACTTGATGGGAACCAAAGTGATTGTTCATACAGATCATGCTGCCATCAAGTACCTTATTTCTAAAAAAGATGCAAAGCCAAGGCTAATAAAGGTGGGTCTTGCTTTTGCAAGAGTTTGATTTGGAGATCATTGATAGAAAAAGGGGTGGATAATCAAGTGGCCGACCATCTGTCAAGATTGGAAAAACAAGACAAACCAGTGCAAAGTAGTGACATCTGTGAAGTATTTCCAGATGAAAGAATTTTGGTTCTTAATCATAATACTGTGCCTTGGTTTGCTGATCTTGTTAATTACTTAGCTTGTGGGATTATTCCCAAGGAATTTAATAAGTATCAAAGAAAGAAGATCTATGATTCAAAGAAATATTTATGGGATGACCCTTTCTTGTTTAAAATTTGTGCAGATCAGGTGATTAGAAGATGCATCCCAAAAGAAGAAGTACCATCAATTCTACAGCACTGCCATGCCGGACCTTGTGGAGGACATTTTGGAGAGAGTAGGACAGCATCCAAGGTTTTACAATCAGGATTCTACTGTCCTACTTTGCACAATGATGCTCAAAACTTTGTAAAAAGTTGCAATGAGTGTCAGAGGAGTGGAAATATCTTTAGAAGAAATGAAATGCCTTTAAACGGAATTCTAGAAATAGAATTATTTGATGTTTGGGGTATAGACTTTATGGGACCTTTTCCTCTGTCCAATAATTGTGCCTACATACTGGTTGCTGTGGACTATGTGTCCAAATGGGTGGAAGCTATGGCTTGCCATTCCAATGATGCTAAAACAGTCGTTAAGTTTTTACAAAAGCACATATTCACTCGTGCCTTAATTAGTGATGAAGGCACTCACTTCATAAACAACATGTTAGAAGAAGTTCTGGATAAGTATGACATCAAGCATAGGGTATCAACTGCCTACCATCCTCAGACCAACGGATTAGCTGAATTGTCAAATAGGGAGATAAAAGGGATTTTGGCCAAAGTAGTCAAGCCACATAGAAAGGATTGGGCCTCTAAGTTAGATGATGCATTATGGGCCTACCAGACTGCTTACAAAACCCCTATTGGTATGTCTCCCTATAAATTGGTCTTTGGGAAAGCTTGTCATTTACCTGTGGAATTAGATCACAAAGCCTATTTGGGCCATTAAGGAACTCAACATGAGTTTAGATGAGGCCAAAAGAAAAGGACTTTGCAACTTTGTGAATTGGAAGAACATAGGAATTTTTCCTATGAAAATGCTAAGCTATACAAAGAAAATACCAAGAAATTGCATGATAAAAAGATTCTTCCAAAAGAGTTCACAGAAGGCCAAAAAGTCCTGTTGTTCAATTCAAG